TTAAAAGGTTATAAGGTATTCAGGATAACACTGAGTATCGTGGAAAACAACAAAGATGGATGGGTTTCCTGTGTTATCAACCACAGACTCGTACAAAATCTCCCGTCTGGAAGGGTCCTTTGGTGGAGGCACCTTCATTTCAGCTTTGCCTGCACAATACTTCCCGACCAAAACCCGGGCAAGGTACACGGAGCGACCCTCACTTCCAGCCCCTGCATAACGAACTGCGTGAGATGCATCCCTGGCAAAATACACTCCTTGTCCAAACTTAGTCCCTGTCGGCAAGAAAATACAAACCAACATTGTATAGACTAACATTAAATGTTAAGTTACAATTATGTAATATATAAGTAGCCATCCAGTGTTCCAACAGTGAAATTTTATTCCTACTAATACCTTCGACGGATGAGAATCTTTTAGTATATACGAAGCGTCGACTCTGAAAACTAAGCAGTGACTTCAGTAGTGCACTACAAACACACAAAATGCTACATCAACTCGTAATTAGTGCTATGGTGGCCAACTAGAGAACCAAATGGTTCCCTTGTCCATCACGCTCAAACTTAAATATTAATTCTACAGAAACATTTATCTTCTAAACATCAGTCTATAAAGTCTCTAACTTTTTTGAAGAAGTCGAGGCATATTGAGGGAAATAAATTGAATTAAATTGAATTAATAGCGCGGTACATAAGCCTGGTATTACTTGGGAATGCACATCTTAAATAATATAATCTCAGGGTAGTAGTGAAGTGCTTTAAAAAAGTCATAAATATAATAATAATAATAATAATAATAATTTAATGAGATAGTGTTCGTGTTACATGCTGGAGATATGCTCACACGCGCATATCACAACAGCTGATGTCGACTGTTACGTTTCGTCATGCAGCGCTAACACGAAAGGAAACAACATTCGCCTACAGATGAAACGTTGACCCAAATAATTAATTTTAGGGCGAAAGTTACCAGTTCTCTTCGCAAAACACGATGATATAAACATTGTTATACTCAGTTCTTTAAATACAAATTTGGTACCATTTGGGTATGTTAGTTTTCTCCTGATAAAGGTAAACTTAGTTATCTAACAAGATTAGATCCGCAGCCTTGTAATGTAAATGCCAGTAAACTGAAAAAATGTTGTACTGGCTTGACAGAAAGTACGTTAAAGCATAGACTCGCCCTCATCGCTCCAATATCGTGAACTGTCGAATCACACAATTTTAACTACTCTTGGCAGACGGCTAGTATTCTTGGCAGTCCAATGTTTACTCTATGAATCTGTCTTAGCCTTAACAATGGAACGTTTCGGTGAGTAAAGTACAGTCTTATTTTTTTGGGTGTTATATGGCTCTCTTAATAAGGTCCAATACAGTCCAATTACTTACGGCTGATTTGGCTTTCGACTAAGGGCTTAAATGAGTCCCAGCGTGGGCTAACGCATTCAGTACGCCTTTTTTTTTTGCTGCTCCGACTTTTTTACTGCTCATAGTATTGCCACCAAAATAACATAAAATAATGCACTCCCCATTTCCAACATGTAGGCATAACGTGATTAACACAATGACGTAATTTGACGTCATTATGACGTCATATTGTTGATTGGCAAAATCTAAATTTCATCCATTTTTTCTCTATAGGCGAAAAATGCTCATTAATAAGTAGTAAGGTGTCAAACAAAAGCAAAAAGTTATTAATAAATTATAGCTTATGTCATGATGACGTCATTTGCTACGTGAAAAAGGAACTTGAACCATCCGCAGTCTTGGATCGGCCATTTTGAATTATTGTTAAATGTATTCAAATTTTACTTTAAACCTGTATAAATCAATCTATAAATCGAGGAAATCGTGATAAAAAATTGAAAATTGAATGATGCTCAGGAAGCAAAACAATCTGCAAGTTTTAAAAATCCGAGAGAAATAAACGCTGTTAAAGACTGAACCCAACATCTGCCATTTGGTCATCTTAAATCCATATTTTTTTTCTCAAACCAATCACTAAAACACCTAAATTACATTAACGGTTGTAAAAATAATTGATAAAATATTGCTTAATTAAGGGGAATGCTATAATTTGATAAGAAAAAATAAAAATAAGTCCTTTTTATAGGAAAGAACAAATTTTGAATACCCTGTGGCTGTCAAAACTCGGTTGCAATGGCATAGTTAACGTTCACGTCATGGCTGACTTCAAAATGTTCCCAGATAATTTTGAGGAATAGTCGCTACGTTTGGTGGTTAGAGCTTAAACGGTTTTCAAGTCATTTAACTATTTCGCGAGGGGGAGCTCCAAAAGCCCCCAACGGTCTGAAGGTTAATGCCTAATGAGGCTGTTTTTACAAAACTTTTTCTCAAATGAAGGATGAATCAGACTTTGGCCTGCAGAGATGAATTGGCACCTGGTTAGTGTTCAGTGTATCTATATTGCCGACTAGCCTTCGAATGCAACCTTCGATTCTCTCCTTGTACCTCGCCGCTAGGGACGTTCCGAGAAAGAAAACGTCTGCGCCTCAACAAAATTCCATGCTAATAACGTAAAACCGGTTCAAAATCTATAATCAGTATAGAATTTCTGTCGCTAAAGAACAGACGACTTTCCTGCCATGCAGAGTACTCTACTGGCGGCGAGGAGCGAGGAGAGACGGCTTATTCGCAGGCTAATATTGTATATGTATTTTACCTGAAAAACATCAGACTGCGAACGGTCTCTCTTTTTCTTCAGATTTTGAGAGGGTAAGTGACGTGTGCGCGAGACGCAAGAAACGAGGGCGTCTCGCCTCTCTCGTCTCGCGCCTTCAGTCACGTACGTGGTCATTTTCGTGTCTTGTGCTTTTCGCTCAACGGCAACGAAAGAGAGACTACCCGTAGTCTAGAAAAACATGAGCTATTACATTTTTTATACTATTGTTACATTTCGCTTTTACAGCCGAGTCGTTTGAATGTGCGCCAAAAACTTCGTACACTCGCAATAATGTTACATTTAACTCTGTAACGGAGGTATCCGTCTTTAAGTATAACATAAACATGGGGAAATTTGGAAGAAATATAAGATTATAGAGCTGACATTATAAACTCATGAAGCACACTTCTTTCATAGAGTTTTACTCACCGTGCACACCACAAAGACTCCTGTTGAATCCTTGAGTGTTTATTGCAGCTATATTTTCAGCGCCCGTTCCATGGAACAACTGCCGTTCGTTGTTTCCTTTATTATCTTTGTCCATTTTCTGCTTTCGCACCACGTACTGCTTATAAAGATAAGGATTCTGAATTCGCTCAATTTTCTGAATATTCACCATACGAGCAGTCGCCATAAATTTCCTCGCAACATCTCGGTACTCAGGAGAAGCTGGTTTAAGCGGCACTGCATGCACTGTCTTTTCAGGGGTTGGCATGGGAGCCCATGTACTTGGAAGAGAAAAACCTGTAGAAAAAATAATGAGCTTCCTTCACTTTTACTTCGCTTCAGAAAGAGTGAATATTTGATTTCGGTAGTTTGAGCCGTACTCTGAAATTTAAAATTGGAATGATTAACAAGCTTTTCATGGCAACATTTCGCTCTTGATGACACATGCCAAACAGACAGAGATCTTAAGGTCTTAAGGAAAACGCTCTGAATGTACTACGCTCCTTAACAATATAACCGTGAAAACAGTGCACTAAAAATAACTAGTAATAGTTGACACTACAGCTGCCCCCGGCTGTGTATATTGTCGGTCAAAAGTTGCCTAGTCCCTATACGTCGTCTTTCCAAGCCCTCTCGGTCAATACATTTCGGTGACGTATCCGAGACGAACGGCCGGGAGACGCCTAGACAATCTCAGAGTGCGCATGCGTGAGCATTTTTGCATTTTTTGAAAAGTTCCCACGTTCAACTGAAATAATCTATAAATAACTTTGCGCGTGAATATCCTTCGCTCAAAGATCGGCACTAACCTGGTTTCTTTCTATTACTTTGAATCGGAAAGAATACTACTGTATAACGTGCGAGTAATTTCTCTTTTAGTTCAGTTTCAAATGAACCATTAAAATGAAATTTCTTTATTGATAAAAAGATTTGAAACAGTAGTTTGTTGACATTCTACCAAATTTAGAGACCAAATTCAACAGCCTGTCCGATTAGTTTGATAAGCTTCCAAATCCAAAAATTAAATTACATAAAATATTTCGAAGTGAAATGATAACGAGAAATTTATAGGAGCAAGCGAAAATAGAGAAACGAAAGATAGCTTTTCATATCCAAGAATAAATATAAACTTATTTCTTTAGCTTACCTTCCGATTCTTGATCAAATAATTTTTTTGCGACGCTGTTTTGCTTAGCCTACAAATAGTTTTTGAGATGAAATAAAGTTCAAATTAGTTTAATGAGATAAATGAAAAAGAAAGGCCAAAGGACTTTCAACAATGAAAACGTGCATAGAAGAAAAATGCTCGGTTTAACTCTTTAACCTCTGTACTCTCCATGGCTGCTGGACATCTTTCATCAGCGCGGAAAAGTTATTGACAGCTCGCCCGCTTCCAAAAGCTCCGCCCCAAGTGAGACAAAATGTCTCACTTCTCCGAGTTTGTCTAGGCCTCAAAAACTTTCTCGGACCACGTGACCCGAAACGCATCGGCCGCGCATAATAATGAGGCCTAGGGACTAGGCAAGGTCAAAAGTATTCTTGCTCGTTGGGTAGCTCTTTGAAATATACCGATTCATATAATGAAGATTTTCACACACACTCCATTCAATAGGTGAGATAAATACAGGAAACGCAAGATTCGATACAAATTTTCAGTTCGGTTTACATAGCTTTGATCAAAACATTCTCAGTTTCGAGAATAGTTTATTCTAAACCATAAGAAAAGACTTAATTAGAAGTTGAATTTTTCGCTATTTTTCTTTCACTTTTTATACATTCAGTTCATTTTATTTGCCGGAAAGTAAGGCTTAGAAATCAAAAGGACGTTTGATCAATTGACGCTCCCGCATTCTAGTCTTATTTCAAACTTTACTGCGAAAGGACGAGAAAAATATATACCAAAGCAGATAATGACGTGGCACAACTTTTAGAACCTTTGTGCCATAAACCTGGAATCCCATGATTTCTTGTTGAATTAAGGAAATCACTTGATATTTTTTTGAGAATTAAGTAAATGGTACTTCTGCTGCCGGCAATGTGCGTTTACTATATACCAAGCAGAGTGAAGATATGATTTTTTAGTAAAAGGAAAAATCCTGGTATTCCATCAGTATCTATATAATAAATGCATTTAACTCACTGGTGTTTTAACTTTTCACAGTATATGCATGCACTGACCTTCTTCTGCTCTCTTTATCTCTCTAAAAAGTTTAATTTTTTCACTGTTCTGCTGCCCGTGGCCAGTTTTAGCTTGTAAATCAATCTCAAATTCCTGTCCCCCCAAAGGTAAAAGTACTTTGGGTTGTTGCTTGAAGTATGCCATCTCAAGCTTTCTGTTTTCCTTGGGACTTAACGGTATCTTTTTACTGAGAAAGTTTTTCCTATAACTCCATTCTACGTTTTGTGAAAGCATTATCTCCTGCTTTTCTTCTTCTATCTCCTTATTTCTCTCGTCTACCTCGTGCCAGATCTCGCTGACCATGGCTTTTACTTCGGTTTGCTCGCCAAGCACCATAATGCAATTCTTATTGACCTCGATTTCAAGTTTGACGTCACGTTCTTTGGCTTTCCTTATGAGAAAGTTAATTTGCTTTTGCGACAATTTGCTGACGGCTTCATTTTCCACTTTTTCTGTTGTACAAGCTTCGAAGAAACCTTTCTTCAAAGCATCTACAGCCATAAGGACGCTTTCCTTGTCCTTTCCAGTGACATAAATTTTGACAGAAAGCTCGGTTGTTGAACTCGACTTGGCTGCGGAATCTTTTGTTTGCTTTTCAGCTCTGGTCTTCTCAGACATTCTATCGTCTGAAGTGGAGTCACTCTCCCACTGAAGCATATCTTGTACTTCCTGGATCGCTTGCGTTTTTAAAAATTCTTCAGTCATTTTGATTTGAAAGACCACGACGCGCACTTTCCGAAGGTTTTTAGAAGTTTCTCTGAAGGACTTGAGAGCTTGGAATGTCACCTGGGCCGAGTCCGCTGCTGTCAGACCAAACCCTCCAGTGCCTACGCACGGAATTGATATTGCTTGAAGGTTGTTTTGATCTGCCAGGTGAAGGCCAGCTTCCAGACACGTCTGAAGATGTTGTTTGTCCTTGGAACCTGGAATTGCAACGAAAAAATAAACATGATCTAAACGCTATTATTGTCGTTTCAAAGACATTGATATTACAATACCAATGACAACACGTAAGAAACATCTTAGTCGGAAAAATTAAAGGTTACATTCATCCTGCTTATGAGGACTATTAGTATTATAAACTTATGAAATTTACAAACCAGGAATGATATGGATTATGTGAAGCACATCTAAACTTCCACCGCCAGTCATTACCGCTTTTCCAGGAGTTTGTTTACCGAGTTTGCTGCATTGCTTTTGGATCTGTGGGCCGCCAGCTCTAAGGATGGCTTTACTTAGTTCTCCAGCATGGGTCATGTCCATATCCGGGGTGACGATGTTCATGATAGCGTCAGTTTTCTCTTTCGTCAAATCACCATTTATGACTTCGATGATCAAGTCCCTCGGTCTACTAGCACATGGAGAAGTTGCGCCCTTCTGGGCAATGTGTGTAAATACACAACTGTGAAATTTCTGTAGCTCTAGTTGAAATGTATGAAGCATAGAAGCTTGGAAGACTAGGATCCTGACGTTTTTGATAAATTTAAAATTTGGACTAGAATTACTGAGGGCTTGAAAAATCAGGCTGGCTGAATCCACCGCTGACACTTGAAAACCTCCGGTTCCTACCGCTGGAAATGAGATAGACTGGAAACCACGAGCCTCTGCCTCATCAAGACACCTTTCCACGCACTGCTGCAGGTGATCTTTGTCCGAGGAGTCTGGTATTAAGTGGATGATATAACGGGCCTTTAGATTTCCACCACTGGTTACTACCACTGACCCATCTGTTTGATATCCCAGTTGATAGCACTCGTCCTGCACAACTTGACCGGCGGCCTTTTTCACCGCCTTGCTCAGTGCCCCCGCGCTATCCATATTCATATCTTTGCCAATAATATTAACAATGACGTCTGTTGTCTCCTGGCACAAATTTCCTTGCAAAACGTCAACACTAACTCCACCAGCTGGTCTTTCTGGTTTCTGAATGATTCTTCCCAGTTTGGATCGTAGCTGTCTAAAACGACCACTCGTGGTGTGTCCAGAACCAACCCCATGCTTGGATCGCAGGGTATCAATTTCTTGTGCAAAAGCAGTGATTAGTGCTTGATCTCGATGAAACACCACAAATCGAATTTCTTTCACCCCAGATGAAGGATTGGTTTGGCAAAAAGTGATGGCTTCTTCCAACATGATCCTGGAGGCGGCGTCTGGTGGAAAGTTGAGGTTTCCAGTGCCTATGACTGGAAATGCTATTGATACCCCTCCAAGCTTATCAGCCGTCTGTAAACATTTTTTCACAATGGCTCGTAAGACCTATAATAAGACGCAAATTGATTACAACACTTCCTATTATATAAAAAAATAATAAATAATAATAATATGAAGACGTGAAGCGTTAAATTGGTTAACAAGTGTATCTGCTCTTTCTATACTGAATGTGGAAGTGGTCCCGTGGTAAAACCTCAGTGTTGGCTTAAAATGTTTAGTGTAAAACCGGCAATACGTGCCTGCCAACAACCTGAAAATAAACCCTAAAAATAGCTTGCAAACAGACTTACGGAGGAAATTAAAGAGTATGCTAGTTAAAAGCAGTGATGAACGCCGTGTCTGACAAGATTCAAAAGAATAATTTGTTTCTAAGTAACTGTTATTTACAAGCTACATGGGCTTACAAATCCGTTTGTCATTGTACCTTGAAAAATTATGACGGGCAAACCAGAATAAATAAGTAAGCCAATTTTCATTTACCTCACCCCCCTCTCCACCTAGCCACATTGAACAGTACGTATGAATCACGTGTTTGCAGGGCAAATCATGTCCAGCTGTAACTGTGACATCACCAACATTTGGAGTCACCAATTCTTTCTTCATTTGAAGTCCACCAGCATTGATGATCGCCTGGGAGCACGCTTCTTGTGAACTTACCAAAATGTCGGCCTGCAATTTAAGGTGAAGGCAGACTTTGTTAGTTTTAAAAGGATAGGCAGTCACTACAAATTACTATCAAGGGTAAAGAGTAAAGAACGCATAAAAAGAGCAACGCATAGTGTTATCGTCACACCACTAGCTTTTATGACTATGGTAAGGGTAGTATTCTTACTAATGGGCCCCTCCAAATTTTTGTAACGGTTATTTAAACTAAAGCCAATCTACAAAGATTGTAAAGAAGAAAATATTCATTAGATTGTCGCGAGTCGTCAGTCGACATTAGTCATGGACTAGCAAGAAAGGAAATGAGATACACGATGTAGCTGGAATATTTACCAATTGCTTGATGGACATACATATGCAGATCGAAAAATCAACACGGGATGAATTGGATGAATATAATATTTCAGAGTCCATGCATCTTTGGTGCGGTCGAAAAAGAATTAGTTAAGAATTCAGTCGATAACCAATGATTTGCTCACCATTATTTGTTTGTTGTATTTGTACTATTATTAAGGACAACAAAAGCTGGATTTACTTAAGCAAAGACGAACAAAAATGAGGGTAAAAAGTCTACCCTTTGGTGTCATCGTAACGCCATATCCCAGAGTACTGAGAAGCAATCGTTTTGAGGCATCTTTCGGCATTAATTTAAGGAACACATTAAAATGGACAAGTAATTTGTCTTCAACTAGCTTAAAACAGTCATAAATTCGGTCAACAGTCAAGACCGTCAGTCAAAAATGAAACAGACCCAAATCCGTTCCCCTCAGGCTTATAAGTTTTTGTGTAACTTAAGTGACAAAATTTTGAATGGGTATCTCATTTCGCCGAGTATCTCACGTATGAAAAACATTCGCACGGACCTGATCATGAATCTTGGCGACACTCCTAATATATTTACCTTCTTTCATTTCGCAGGTTCAGTACTTTATCTATTTTGATGGCGTGAAAGTGGAAATCAGCTCGTTCATGACTGCCTTAAAAGAGTGCCAATTTCCCATTTTACTGATAGCCTCACTGAATAGGGTCATAGTGATCAAACCACTTCTTCTTTAATCAACCTTTCCACCTATTTTATTCTAATTGACGGAGTACTCCCCTGAAGTCGAGAATGTACATTTTTAGTCGTTCACCGTCAGAACAGACCCCCCACCCCCTATTATGACCGCGTCAACAAACCTGCTGCGTCTGGATAGTTCCACGCTTCCACGAAATTTTGTGACCACTTTTGGTGACAAGAATGTAAGCATCAGCTGGGTGCATGCTAACTGAGCTCTCCTCATGATCTTTCTTCTTAATGGTACCATCATCGTCTTTGTTGTTTGATAAATTGGATTTCAAAGTTGCCTCTTCGTACGGAGTGCGCATGTCATCTTGTTTCTGTACATGGATAGCACAAGCATGATTCTCCTGCACTTCTTTCACAAGGCTGTCGCCTTTTCCGCTGGCGAAATATTTCTGTAGTCCAGGCTGTTTGAGGTTTAAACTATCTGAATAGGTGTTGACTGCAAGAGCTTCCATATTACTTTTCGCAAGTTTTATCCCCTTCTCGTGTCCCCGAATGACAAAAGCATCATCATCTTTCCCTGTTTGAATCTTGATGTGATATTCTTGGAATTTATCTTCAATCAAACGCAATTCATCTTGTCGAAGCTCAGAGAGGTATTTTCGGTGTAGCTTAGAGGGACATTTGAACTGCACTTCTCGAATGCAATTGTCTTTGAGATATGAAGTGAGCGTCTTGATCATTTCACGTACATCTTCTCGAAACCCCGCTACGTAAATGTCATTATTCTTCTTATGCCAATGTACTCGGACTAATGAGTCGGCGTTGAGTTGCTCACATAGTTGGCGCCATTCTGGGGTCTTCAAAAGATGTTGACTGTTGGCATCCACGCGAACTTTTTCTTCCAGTGTCAAATTACTCACAAGACTGGCAGCCTTGTCCGCATGTGCAGCTGACGTGCCTATGATCCTAGCTTCGTTGTCGATCACGAATACTGCGGCTTCAACGTTGTCATTCTCTAATTCACATTGGACTTTTTGAAGCCCTTTGTCTAGAGACAAAACTTCCAAAATGTTTTTTGACAGGCTTAATTTCTTTTTAATAATTCCTGAAATTTTTGCGTGAAATTTTTTGGTCGCCTTCAGGAACTGTGGTTGTGGACCTTCAAAAAAGATTTCCTCCGCTTCAGTGTCTATTTTTATCTCCAGTTTGTTGTTCTTTTCTTTAATTTTCTCCACAAACCTGGTCTTGTCCAATAAAGTTAAATGCTCCACAGAGGCCTTTACCGTTTTCTTCATGTATGTCTTTCTGGTTTCCTCCTGATATATTTCCTCTAATTTTGCTTTTAACTTCCCTCTGAAATCTTCTGCATTTGAACTCAGGGAAACAATTCTGACCACGAAAGAATCATCGATCATTTTAACCAGCGGAGGTTCAACACCGAAACAGGATCGAATTCCTGGTAACTGAGCTTTCACGGCCTCCCAGGAATCTTTTTTCACTTCAACATCCTTCCTTGTAATTCTGGCAAGCCATGTTTGTACTTCCTCGACACAATTCCAAGACCAACTTTCATCTTCCCCGCTATATGACAGAATAGCTGTTTTACCGTTAAGCTTCCATTTAATTTCACATGACCTAGTAGCCAGCGCCACTTGAAGTTGGTCATAGAGTGACCTTGTTGTGACGTATTCCATCACATCCGGGTCCACAACCATGTGAATCTCCTGTGCTGTAGGCTCAGACCGCTGGCTCACTGATGTGTTAGGGCTGTCGTCTGCATCACCTCGCTTGTCATCCAAAACGTCAAAAAGTGCAACGTCATTGTCATCTTCCAGTAAGTCAGTCAATTGAGCCTTATTTAAGACATGTGGCTTTTCATTCTGTTTGGCTAAGACACTTTCCATATCTGTGAGAGAAGCAAAACTTAAATGAACCCTAATTTTCCTGCATACAGCGACTACTACGTTGCAAAATAATAAATCAGGCAATGATGTCTGTTCTCGTAGTCTATAGCAAGCAAGAACTCAGATGATTTTTGACCACGAGCTTCTCTGCTTTTTATAACAATTCTATTAATATAAATGTCTGTGACTTTATCACGTTTTTAAAGTTTTCAGTTATTTAACCATTAAAAAGCATGCGAAAACTTTCTTCTCTAAACAAAAATAGAGAGCTTAGGCAGCGGATTTTCTTGAGCCCACCACCGCCGATCGGAAGTCACACCAGCTAGTGTGTATATTTATACCGCGCATGTCGTTACGTCCACGAGCTCATGCAGGTCGCCTATACTCTAGAATCGAACGCTACGGCAATATTTGATACGTAAGACTAACTTCTTCTGCGTTTACACGGCACCAGACAAATTTCAAGCGCCTGAAAATTTTTAATTTAGACTTCGCTCACACGGAACTGTATTCCCGGAGTGGGTACCCTGTTATAATGAAGCCATGTATGTATGTGCAGTCCCAAAGGGTATCGGACTGGGTTTGCGCAAATTTGGTCGGAAAATGGGTATGGTTTTCGAAGGAACTACAGTGCATGAACTTAATGGTCGTTTCAATTCAAAATGAGTAAGAAAGAAAGAGTGATATGCGAATTCGAAAGCTAAGGAATCTCTTGTTGGGGTACTAATGTAAGTAATGATGACATTATTTGCATCTGAAAACGGGTATGGATTTTGAAAGCTAGGTCTGAAAACGGGTGTGGAAATTGACATTTTTTGGGGTCTGAAATAGGGTGAGGATTTGGATAACTGGGTAGCACAACCCCACCAAGAAATCCAGGAGTGCCTTCCCCCCCCCCCAACGCGTTTTCGCTCTTTTCACACCGATCTTTGAACGATTAAGCGTCTAAATTTTCGTACAGATACGGCAATTCCCTTGAAAAGGATTCAGATTTTTTTCAAACTTGGCGCACCCGCAATTGACAGCCAAATATAGGACACTGAAAATAGGGGAGTTGAACAAGGACATTGTAGATGGGGTCACCGAGCTTGTTTTCGCCCTGCGTGCCCGTAATTTTTATCGTTTTTGTCATTTGCGCAAAATGTTCGAAACTAAAAGATCGTCAAAAATTCACAGTATTTTGTAAAAACTATGAATCTTACTAAAACCTAGATCACGTTTGTTTGCCTGGGCTATAATTTTTCAGTTTAGTGACTGCAAAAAATTAAAGCAAAATGGACAGTTTAAACATTATCTTATACTCCTCTGGGGACTGTAGCTCCAACTGTGGAGTTTCAAGTCATTTCTACCTAAATAACACAATTTCTGCTATTAAGATTTTTTCCCCTTAAAACATAGTTTTCTTGTAGCAAGAAACTAGTATAAAACACCAATAAAAAAGGGAAGGTCATAGTTCTAGTTTCATTGCTAAAAGACAACAAAGAGACTCATTTTGCGCGAAGGGACTTTGCCGTGTTTTAAGACTAGCATCTTTTAAGCCGAGGAAATCTAATCTTATCGCTGTCAAAATCATCTAGACTACAAACGGGCCTTTCTTATATCGTCGCCGGTGTGCATATCACCATGCGGAACCTTCAGATCTTATTTGGAGGTCTTAATCTAAGGTAACTTTATGGACCAGTAATTACGACTATATTGTTATATTCTTTAATTTACAAAATGCCAAAAAGCAAGTTAAAAAAGTTCTCACTGCATCTGCGCCTCCCGCCTTTTGAAGGTATTAATCTTTGTTCACAGAAACATTTCTGACATTTTCTAAGTAGTTTCTTCTATGTAGCTTATCAGTGATGCTAAAAACAGACCTCTTATTTGTGCTTCTCATTCACTACCAAATAAAGATCTCTGTATAAAGTGATAACTTGAACTCAGTGGATAGAATGTGATGCAATCCGGGAAGTTTTTGCCTGTGATATGAAATCCTGGGCTTTGGAATTCCGAATACACCTCAACGAATCCGGAATCCCACTAACTATTGGAATCCGGATTTCAAGTTCTACTGACAGTGACTAGAATCCGGAATTCACGGTGTGGTATCCAGAATACAAGACAGTCTTGGAATTCCGTTTCACGGGGCGAAAAAGACAGTGTGCATGCAGCAAGAAAATAGTCTTACTGGTGGTGTTGGCTTTTCTTGTCTCAGGTATCTAGTTATTCCTATGTAAGCGAATCCGGATTCCGGAATCTGGGAAATTTTTATTTGTGGAATCTTGAATCCTGGCTTCTGTAATCCGGAATACAGCTAATGGGATCCGGAATCCCACGAACGATTAGAATCCGGAATCCACATCGTGGAATCCAGAATCCAAGACTTTCTAGAATTCACTTTTTACATGAGGCAAATCTGGTGGCATTACTGTCCGATTTCTTTGAATATAAAGGCCATTCATTTGTACAGCGAACATCTAAGCAAAGGGGAATCAGTCTGGACAAGCAAACAGATCAGAAGGTAAGGTCAAACAACAACTATAACAAATAATGATAATAATAATAACAATAAAAATAATAACAATAGTAATAATAATAGCAATAATCACACATAAAAGAGAGAAACAAATTTTACTTTTTCAAAACGAATTCGTGTGAGTTGAATGAAAATTGACTTGATGACGTGACTTAACGTAACTGGATGATGGGACTTCATGTAAATGCCGTTTAGTCAGCTTTAATCGGAACGTACCCCGTCTTTTGTTTGTTTTTCCTTAACTTAATTAAACTATAGCTTCATTTTTTGCCAGTGAGAAAAACAAAGTTAAGATTGCCAGATCGAGACCAATGTGTCTAAAAAAAATACTTGACATGATGACTGTCGCCATATTCTTCATTTACTTACGGGTAACTGGCCCAGAGGTTTGTTCACCGATGAAACCAAGACCAAAGTAAGTACTCTGGCCAAACACAGTGCTATCTAAATGCAAACCAACCCAACCAAACCTTGGGGCAAATAAGTCATGGGTGGTGGTGGTCGTACTTTATGGCATGGTTTTCCAATCCAATGCAAAGTTAAAGGAACCATGAATCTAATTTCACCAGATCATGAAAGCGGGTTTTTTACTTTTGAATGAAGGACTTACCTTTAACATCGTCAGTCAACATGACTAGGGATTTGCCTTTACCCATCTCTGCTTTCTGTACCTTCTCGCGACTCATGATCATCGCCCGTGCTAATTTCAAACTTTCCTCTAGCGACGTCGACTCACCATGTAGGTTTTTTGGCTCTAACTTCATTTTCTCTGTTTCATTCTCTCGCGTATTAGTGTCTTGATTATCTATTCCACTAGAAAGGCTTTGAGCTCGTCTCAGTTCTCTCTGGAGGTCTAGCATATTAGGAGACCTCCTTAAGTCCAACTCGTTGTCGTCATCGTTGCCTCTTCCTTCAATTGCGTTATCCTTTTCCTCATCCTTTACTTCTGTGTGGGTGTTGTCATCTTCTGAAACGTAAAGAGCCGTTGCACATGAAGGAGCTATAGAGCTCAGTAACTCCAGTAGTGAGGTTTAAACTCCTTGCAGTGGATTTACCTTTTTACGTAAATGTAACTCCCTGAAAGGAGCTAAATTGACCTAATTTTGTAAAAGTGTTATTTATTCCCAAAGTGAGTTAAATAGGGAGTTTTTCACACGACAGTCGGATTACGACGTGAAGTGCCCCCCACAAAATTATGAAGTCCTGAGTGAGTAACTTAAATAAGTAAGCGAAAGCAAGTAAGTACGGGTAATTAAAGGCCTCTTCATATGATCCCGGTTTCCGATATCTCGCCTTACCTCTGATGTGTTCATCAGAGGAAGAGCTGGCTCGGTTACCGAGATTTCTGTTTTTCCAACCGGGATCTCGGTAAGCAGGCTGCAAAGTTTTCCGCATGAACACTTCAGCCCGGTGACCAGGTTCAGAAGGAGGATTTATTCTTCAAATGAATTCTGCATCGTCTTGCTTTGCGTGTTGTATTTTCCACATCACAAGCATCCTATTTGACAACAGCGATACAGCTATCTCATCATCCGGGCTGAAAACCGGGCTGAGTAAAACATAAACTCATTTGAACATTGTTCTCTTTTGAAACACTTTCGTAACAAGAAAAATGAGTACCATTTTTAAGTCTGTATTAACAGTAACTTTTCAAATTCCACCATTATGAATAAGGTAAGCAAGTTAGCCATTCTTAACAGCAAACAATGAGCGTTATTTTCACGCACCCCTTCCCCAATCCCTTCCCCCAAAGTCTGACACTATAACGTAATGTGACCTAACCGGAAATTCCAAACATTATTGTCGTTCTACGGGTCATAAAACGCTGCTAACAAGCAGTACATTTCTCAATTCTGGTTCTTAAAACTAACAAACCAAATTAAAATTAAGTTTTGTTTTTGTCTGATATTGCGTTTAAAGCCTTTCTAACTGTCCTAGTGAATATGACTTTTCACACCCAGAGCAAGAATCGCAATAGGATAAAAAGAGACACTGGCGGTCACATTTTAAACGGTTTGAACTTCAACATAAAGCGCAGAGAAACCTCAAGAGCGACCCATCCTACTATATTCTAAAAAGGCACTAAAAAAAGTGCCAGTGATAGCTCGAGAAATGACTTTCATTCAATGGAGGTAGATACACAGAGAGAGAGAGATTTGCAATCACGTTTTGGAAGGAAAAAAACTCATCAAAAGGTTTAAACTTCAAAAAAAAGTGAAGAAAAACCACAAAAGGTACTTATCGTAGTATCTTTTGAAGAAGACGATGAAAAAGCGCAGTACGCTAGCTACAAACACACCTTCATTTAATGGCTGCCTTCGCAAAACATGTTTTATGGTTGCCAAGTTAA